CGAAAAGTATATAAGGCTTCGATATTTGGATTTTTCAAGTTAGTCTCTAACATTCGTCAGAGGGAACTGTGCCACCTCTAGTTTTCATTATGAATCCAGTGCGCGGTAGGCCAGGAAAAGTTGATCCCAAGAAAATAAAAACAGCAATTTTAAAGTATAAAGATGTTATAAAAAATAAAGACAAAATAATTTCAAAAACGCACAATATTTGGAAGGTTATAGCGCAAGATTTGGATAATAAAGTGACATCAAATAGTTTATATACGTTTACAATGTGCAATAGATGTGACATAAAAGATATAATTTTTAATAAACTTTCATATAATGACAAATCTGTTTCCGCGAATGAGAGTGCACTAACAGACAGCTCAAATTGGAATGAAATATCTGCCAATATATCGTCAGATAATAACATTCAGGAAAATTTCCTTGTCATTTCCGTACTTAGAGAAGATTTTACAAATCTATTGAAACATAAAGTGTACAATCGTCGAGTTAATGGAAAAACGTACTATCGCTTGCGAAATGTTTTGGAACCTGGTAAATGGCAAGAAGTTATTACAGACAAGTTTTGGCAAACTACACACTTAAAATGTGCATTTCAGTTTAAAAATCATTATATTTCTGAAGACGCTAAATCTGGTGTCATCAATGGTAAGCTAATCTAATATAATCTTATGTATTTAATTTAGTTATTTAATTTAGAAACGTATTTGTTATTTTTCTTTATTGTTTTAAATTGTGATCTTAATTTTAAGATAGCATTAACTTTACTTTGCAATATCTTTGGCAATAAATGTAAGTTTTTAAAACTAATAAATGATAAAAACAGCAAACTTATATTAATTTTTACATTTTGCTGAAGTTGCATATTTAATGGATATTTTATCTAAAATAATATAACTAATATGTAATTTCTATTAAAGCCAAGAGTAGTTATTTTTAAAGTATAATTTATATTTTTTAAAAATTAAAAAATGTCAAAATATTTTAATTTATGTTATTATTATCTCTAAATTTTTAATAGAATTTTTTATACAGTTTGCTCTTTGGAAAGTATGAAAAATAATATCAATAATAAGTTGTTTCAAATAAAAAACAATAAAGATAGCATAACAAATAATAACAATATCAAAAAACAATTACTATAAAAACGATAACAAAAACTAATAATAAATTCGTCGTAAAATTAAAAGCAATATATGTAAATGTTATAAACTATTTTATATCATGTACCTATGATATAAAATATTTACGTTCAAATATAGTACAGAAAACAGACACTAGTTTATTTAAAGAAAAATAACATTTAGATAAATGCATCATATTTAGATAAATTTTTTTCTTTCATGTCTGATATATCACAAAATTTTTTATCATAGTTTAAGCTTGAGCTGTTGAATTGTTTTTTTTTTATTAGAAATAACGTTATACATTTTATTAATGTCATTCAATAGCAATTTATTGACATTTTTTTTGAAACGTCAATTAAAATGTTTTTTAAAAATATATATTCTTAGTAGCATAATTATCTTGAAGCTTGTACAAGTTTATCATATTCAATTGAGATTAAATGACCGTGGATGTTTCTTTAAAAAGAATTGATCTACAATTAGTAGATTGTAGACAATTTTCAACTTTTAGTTGTTGAATTTATATTATTTCATTATGTGTTTTTGTTTTGAATATTATTTTCATATCCTTTTTTAAAATTTTTTTCTTAGAAATATTTCTAAAAAATAGATGATATAAATTTAAAACTTGGTGTACCTTAATTTATTTTTTGATATTTAAATGTTCTTTATAAATTTTTATGAAACATGAAAGATTTTTTTGGAAATTCATAAATCTGTGATTTACTGTTGTATAATGTAAAATGCAGAAATTGTCTGTAATAAAAAATTCTAAAAAATATTTATTTTACTCGTCTCTGGCCTCTTATCCCTGATTATTGGTTTCAAAAAATACTTTATTTATAATGTACAAATGTCGTTGTAAATATCAAAGAATAAATATATCAAGTTTTAAATTTACAGCTTTTATATATTTTTTAAATAATTTTATAAAAATGGTACATTGAAACAAAGATGCCCAGTAAGATTAAAAATATAAAATATCATTATCAAATATATAACCGTTTACAAAATAGTCACAAACGTAAGAATTTTAATAACGAATTAAAGTATTTTAACATACGTTTAAAATATTTTAATGTACATTTGGTGTTTTTCTAATAAAAGTATGAATTTTTATTTTATTATTGAATCCAGAACTAATGTTCTTATCATTTTTATATATGTACATTCATGTACTCTTTAACACATTTACACTTGTAGATTCAGAAACAAAAATATTTTTTTCTTCAGGCTTCTGTAAATGCGGTAGTACATTAAAATGTATTATAAAAGATGACGACCCATCCAATAGTTGCGTGAAACTAAATTGCACGTATACACAAGGAAATAGAAAGTGCGGAAAAAGATACTTAAGAAATCCAACAAGGACAGTTATTGGAAAAGAGTTACAAAAAAAATCTGTTCATGTGTATCGTGCAGAAAGAGCTCACGTACTAATGAAAGAGGGAGATCCAGTACCTCCTCATTTATATAGTAATGCTGTTCTACATACAGCAAAATCAGAAACGGCAATGACAGATTACGTAAATCCAGATGTTTTTAAGGCATTGGTTATTTTAAAATTTTCATCATTACAAAATATAATTCATAACATTGGATTAGATCCTTTTTTTATTCATTATTGGAGTAATCATCAGCTTAATGTTTATAAAAAATACACTGTTGAAAACAATGCATGTCTATTTGTCGATGCAACTGGCAGCATTGTTCAAAAATTATATAAGGCAGACGGATCATTCTCCAAACATTTGTTTTTATATATTTGTGCTATCAACTGCAAAAGTGGACAATTTTCAATTTGCCAAATGATAAGTGAAAGTCAGAATGCTAATTCAATACATTTTTTTTTGGCAGAATGGATACGTTCTGGTGCACCGACACCCAAAGAAGTGGTATGCGATGCCTTAAAAGCACTTTTAATTGGAATTATTCGTGCTTTTACCAATTACTCTAATATAGAAGATTACGCAGATTCATGTAGAAATTCAAGTTTGCCTAAATGTTATGTAAGAATTGACGTCGCACATTTTATAAAATCGTACGCTAAGTTTTTTAAATCATTAAATAAAAGAGTTAAAATTTTTTATCTTCACGCAATTGGTCAATTAATACTTTGTAGAAGCATCGCAAGTGCAAAAGAAATAATTAAGTTTATATTTATAATAGCATTATCTGAAACCGATGGAAATTTAGAAAATGGTAATCCTACACAATGTGATGAAGCACGAACTAAGCTAGTAAACTTAATGACGACTGATGAATTACAATTAGAAAATTTTGAAACAGATGATAGTGCTCAATACGAAATTGAAAACGAAATAAATGAAATAGATAATATTATTAATCCATTTGAAAACTCATGGACCACGTGGGGTAAAGAAATTTTAAGTGACGTCGAATCATCTATTAAGTCGAATGAAGGCAATAGAATTAATCCACATTATTATCCGAAGTTAATTGACCGTCTTATGATTGATATTAGATCACTACCTCTTTGGACAAATATTTGTACAGATAAATTTGGTTACGGTCGTATACCTGCTTCCAGTGCATCCGTTGAAAGTGAATTTAATAAATTAAAATCATTATTATTAAAAGATTGTCCACTGTTGCGTGTTGATTCTTTCGTTGAGAAACATGTAAATTATTTACACGGAATTGTAAAAATTATTGATGCACAAAATAATGACGATATTTCATCTATTCATTCAAAAGACAGACTCGATGTATCAATAACTTCCGCGACTCTTAAAGAGCCTGATATTAATAATGTATTGTCAGATTCATGTCCTGCATGTCAGAATAATGATCAACCAACAGATGCACATATTTGTTTTTTGTGTAAAAAACATGTGCATGCATTGCCTGAATGTTCTGTACCATTTGGAAATTCTGAAGAAGGTTACGGCCAATCTCGCATATGCATGATGTGCAAAAATATGAAAAATATAAAAGATATTTTAGCAAGTCGTGAAATCGAGAATTGGCGTAATTTAGGAACAGTAAAATCGAGCAAGACTAATGCATTGTATCTTGGCAAAAATAAACATAAAATACTTGACTCTTTAACTTGTAAAAAAACAGTAAAAATACCTATTATAAAAAATGGCAATGATTTATCTCTAAAATCTTTAAAAATATATAATAATAATTACACTATTACTAACACATGTGCATTTGATAGTGTTTTTCAAATATTACTTGCTGCAGGACACGATTCCGATAATATTCGAACGTACATGAACAAAATAGCAGAAACAAATTTGTTTTTTAAATTAATTGATTATACTATAAATAATGGTATTAATCCCTATTCATATAAATTACGCGCGGAAATCCTTCTACAAATTTTTACAACTTCCGAAGTCGGTGGTTGCAAATATGTAAACTGTGAGACAAATGTCGGTTATTTAGCTGGCATTCTTTTCAAAGATATACCAAGCTTTCAAGAAACATCTCGTTGTAATTCTGGTTGTTTGATACGGCACAAAAAGTTACCTGTAATCCAGATCGAGGAATCAAAAATCATACAAAATAATGATTTTGACGAAATAGTAAAACAGAGCGTTTCGTTGGAAGGTGAACATCCTTGTTCAAAAAATTGTCCTGGATTTGAAAAAACAACATTATCCGAAACAGGCATGTGTGATTTGTATTATTATATTATATAAACTGAAAAGTGTATTTCCATTATTGTTATGTGCAATTGTAAATAATATTATCTTTTACTTTCTGCAATACTCCAAATTTAATCTAGATATATTTGACAATTCTTTTTTTTATGTATTTAAAAAAAATATTTTTATACTTTATTGTAATTTTTTATCTACGTCTAATGCTCTATTACATACATCACATTTGAACATATAACTTATCAACATAATTTGTTAAACGAAAAAATCTGTAACAAATATTTTAATCATTTATGAAATCTGTATACATCATATGTTTAAATGGGATCCTTTCTTCTTTTAGAATTTAGATTATAAAGGAGTTATTTTATATTTAAATTTAGTTTTCTTTATTTTACAGGAGATATAGTTATTTTCGAAATTTTTTCAAGAGATGTTAATTCACACACAAAAATCAAATTGGATGATATTAGTAAATCATTTAGAAATCCTCTAAATGGAATTGAATATAAATTACTTGGTGTTGTCTTGTATAAGAAACCCGTTTTGACAAGAGCCGTACAAACAATGGGACATTACACGGCACTATGCTTGAGACTCGGACAATGGCTAAAATATAATGATTTGGAAAAAAAAGAAAGATATTTCAAAAGAAAATCTTTAATAACACCTTCTCTGTTAATTTATAGTATCTAATAATCTTAAGGTTAAGATTATTAAAAGATTACTTTTTATAGTGTTATTATGTTTGTAAAAGATTGCTTCTTGTAGTGTTATTATGTTATTACTTT